CTTTCCCTAATCTTATTTCAGCAGTGTTTGAATGTAGCCTAATTTTCCTCCCCAGAATCCATTCTCCTTCAGGTCCGAGGCCTGAATGGAATACTTATGAACTCTATGGCCCCAATACCACCAGTAGCCTCCAAGGAGGAGATACTGGCCACCAAAGAACATGTTCTGGAGACCTTCTATCCCATCTCGCCTACAATTGATCTTCAGGAAGTGAATGTGTACAGAGAGCTCAACGATACAGGTAAATATGGCCAGTAGTTATTTCTGTCTGATGGCGTGTTCAGGTTGACCTGGAGTCCTTGGCTTTCTGTGGGAAAGCTGTGGGTGGGGGGTGGATGGGAACGAGGGGACAGAGCAGCTGGGCACAGGGTGTGCAGTGCAAGCCCTCCAGCCCTGTGGCAGGGGCATTGTGTCCTGAGCAGGGCCTGTGGGGAAGAACTCAAATCCCAGCAAACTGGCAGTTCCTGAAGATACGGGAGAAAATGTGGGCTGTCCCGTCTCTTCCTGAGCGGTTCCTGACATGACTGTCTTGCCATCCAGGTTTCAGAGATGGTTATCCATACCCCCATCCTCACACCCTGTTCTTCCTGGAGTCTGCCAATGTCCGCACCGACAGGTTCAGGCCGGAGCAGCTTCGTGCCAAGATGCTGATGTTCGCGTTCGGCAACGCGCTGGCCAAGGCCCGGGCGCTGCACGGGGTAGGTGGTGCTGCCCTCCTGCTGGGCCTCTGTTCTTCCTCTGCAGCTGGTGAGAAGAAACAGTTGAGAAGTTCCCTTTGCTGTGGTGGTTCTCAAATCTGAACCCTTCGGGTGGGGTTCCTGGGGTCTGCTGAGCCAGGAAACCATCCCTCGGCGTTGAGCATGTTCCTGTAACACACGGTAGGGTGGTAATGGGTAGGAACCAGGGAGTAGGTTTAAGTGTAAATCTCTTAAGCCATCCCACAGCTCAGTATGTAAATTGATACTTCATTGCTGGCTGAAGGAGGAATTTTAGTTAAAATACAAAATCTACATTCAAAGCTTGTTTGACTAGAGTAATTTTCTGGGCAAGGTCACAATACATTTATTAGTGTCTTGGCTTTAAACCAAGCAGAAGATGCAGAATCAGCAAGTACTCATACAGTTTCTGTGGTAGCTGGCTTTTTAAATGTTCTCCCCCCCACTTCCCTTCTTTCCTAGAATGATCCCAAGGTTTTGGAGCAACCGATAGTGGTGCAAAGCATTGGCACAGATGGCCAGCTCTTCCAGTTCATGGTGTTCCAGTTAAATACAACAGACCTTGTCTCTAATGATGGCGTTAAAAATCTGGTCTGGATTGACTCTGATCAGAATCTGTATGAAAAAGCCCAGTGTGTTCCAGAAGTCAAGAAGAGAGTTGTTACGGTAAGCAAACCTTAAGAGTAAAAGTGGTCCTAGAAATCCTACCCTTTCACCTCTGCCAGAAGTTCTGGAGCTGCAGGGCTGGTTTTAAACCAGCTGAAGGGACCTGACACCTCGTTGTTCCTTCAGCAGGTGTTCCTGACAGGGCACTTGCACTGCTGATGTGCTGCATGGCTTGCAAACTGCATGCCAAGCTCTACGTGGGCTCCTACAGAAAGGGATCCCCATCTGTAAACTACCAGCTCATAATAGGCTTGTTTTCAAGTCAGCTGGTGCTCTGCTGAAGGAAGTGGTTACATGCAACTGTCAGCTTTGCTGCAGAGTAACTAGAGCACAGTGCTCTCAGCCCTGGTCACGCTGGGAGGGCATCTCAAAGGGTTTGTGCCATCTGAGATGTATCCCCATCTGGGGAGGGAGAGCACAGTTGGGAAGCTAGCACGTCTGGGGTTGTATTCAAGCCTATTTAAGGCCCTTGTTTGTCTACATTAATCACTTCACTGCAAACTGAGCATCCGTGTCTTTTTCTCTGCAGAAGCCCGTTGGAATATATGGCTTCCAGCCAGACACATTCAGGAAGTTTCTGGCACTGTATCTGCATGGAACTGTGTGAAATTCAGCTCAAATGAAAATACTTCACCAACTGTACCTGCTGCTTCTCTTTTTCTGGCAAAAACCATCACATAATTAAAGAAAGGTGGATTAATTGACTTTCAAAAATAAATGATGTTGTTACTGAAAGTAAAAAAAAACAAACACAAAATCGTTTAAAACTAAACGGTGCATGAAGAAGCTCTTTCATTTTAGGGGCTCAGCTCTGGATTTGGGTTAGAGAGAGTCATCAGATGCATCCTCCTGCACTTTTCCACCATTGCCTAGAAAGAACACAAGCCAGTCATTATTCCTCTGCACAGGTTCTGCTCTCAATGTGCTTTTGCACAGGGCGAGACTCAAACCTATTTTCTGAGGCTGCTTTGAGTGCCTCTGAATTCAGCACATGCAGAGGAGACTTCCAAAGCTTCAGGAGGGGAGCCTGAGGCACGAGCCTTTTTCATTCTGCCTGCCTTTTACTTTGTTTTACTCCTGGCTGCTTTGGGATGTGTTGTGCTGCCCCGTGCTTAGTTCCCAAAGCACTTAATCGGTGAGATTGCTTTGTTGGATCTGTAGAACCACAGTTCTTTTATCCCCCAATCCTGGATGAAGAGACTTAGCCATTTTGGGAAAGTGGTGTAGAATGTAGCCCAGAAACTTTGGTGCTTGGGAGCTGGTGTTTGCTGCTGAAAATACAAAGGGAGAATTTCTTCCTGCCACACAGAGTTAACTGAACAGGAAGCATATTCTTTGTAAGATGGGGGGGGATTAGTGTGGTTTTTGTGTAATGAAGGCTAAATGAGCTCCAGCCAAACGTAGAATGTTCTGCACCAATACCCTGCAGCACGTGGGAAGGAACAGGACATCCCGCGCCGCTTCCAGGTGTCGGAGAACCTACTTCCAAGAAACGAATCTCCCTTCGGTGTCTTGTGTCAGAGGGTGGTCTGTGCTGTGTGACCACCATCTGGATGAACACCCCAGCTGTGTGTTCCAGTCTCGATCCCCCAGACAGCTCTGCTCTGCAGGGGTCAGAAGGCAGACTTGCCCGGGTCAAATTTCAGCTCGGTGGTTGCACCCAGGAAATTGGGATGCGACGCCTGCGAGTTAAAAATTACCAAATCCCTCAGTAGTTAGAAGATGCTTGGAAGAAATAATCTAGTTAAGTGTTGCATTGATCTAAATCATGTTAATTCTTCCTGCTCCAGGGATGCCTAATTCAGCTCATTGATTTAAATCTGCTCAGTTCTATAATTTGCACCCGGTTATTAAGGAATATATTTTGATACACTTGTGCTCTGTGGAGACTTTCTTTCTCGGTCTGTTGGCTCTCTGCTATGTCACACAGACCCTGCTGGAGGACTCTAGGCAGCAGCCCTGGGACCGCTGGCACCTCCTCACCCTTCTTCCAGATTTGGGCCATTACCCGTCTTGGGGAGGAAGCCCTGCAGGGCAGCCAGCTGCTTGGGTAACATTCCTGAGCAGAGGGTTTCACTGAGGAATCGGGGCAGCAGAGCGGCTGTGGTGGAGGGGGGTGTGGAGAAACCGAACACCTCTCCTGCTTCTGGTACACGTGGGAATCTGTGAAGATGGTCTGAAGTTCCTTTAGATGCTTTTACCTCTCAACAAGGGCATCTCTTATTAGGACAGGCAGTAGAAGAGGAGAAACTAAGTGGAGCTGGAGACCTGCTGTCTGCAAGACTGAGCAGAGGCAGAGGATGAGCACAGAGAGAGACAGATGGATGAAGGCAGAACAAAGGCAATTTTGAAAAATGTAGGAGCAGTAAGGCATGGGACAGCCAGCAGGAGAATGTGGCTTCAGGAGGTTCTGAGAGGCATCGGGAAGCTAGGTGAGGTAAGGGAACCATATGCAAGCATGTAGGACCATGTCCTGGTTTGCTCAGGGCACAGCTGGTCTGGCCTGAGGAGGGAAGCAGTATTCCTGGGTTGCTGGAAGGAGCAGCAGACCCTTGTGCTGGGTAAGCTCCTCTGAGGGCCAGGAGGGGAATGCCAGGGATGCAGAGCAGAGCTCCCAGCTTGGCACCTGGGATGGATGCTCAGGTTGGTCATCGTGTAGGTCTGAGGCTGGTGAATCTTCTGGGCCCCAGACAGCCATGGTGTCCTGCTGGTTCACCTGCTCGTTCCTCCAGTGTGACCTGCTGGAATGAGCCCAGCTGAGGGAGATGGGACCGAGAGCAGGACAATGGGTCACAGAGTTACATCTGGGTTGGCATCAATCATTTATCCAGGCTTATCAGCAGATGAATGGTGTTACCTCAGCACGGCCCAAGAACCAGGCATTAACTTTTAATGAAAGGCAGCCAGGGGAAGCAGAACATGTGAGAACAAGGTGGATGGAGTCTGAGATGAAGCCCTGGCAGTGCCTGGCTGCCTGAAGGAGAGCTCTGCAGCCACTGGTGCAGGACCTGCCCCACAGCCTGCCCTGGGGATGACACACAGTGTGCTCTCCCAGCTCCATCACTCTACACCAACTTCCCCTGAACTGCTCCTGTGGCAAAATCTAACTCCGTGGGCTGCCCTCATCATACCAGCAAGTACACACCATGGTCAGACCAGAGCCCCTGGCTGTTCAGAACCTCCTCCCCCATTTAATTCAATGAAAAGTAATGGGGGAGACAATAACCCCTAAGGCTCAGAAGATGCTTAGAGGGGGGAACCTGGCAATTTCTCATGGCAGTGTTTAATAAAATTAGCCTGTAACCCAGTAAGAACTGGTGGGAGGGGCTTCTCTGCTCTGGGTAGCCTGGATGGGCAGTGTGGACAGGAATGGCCCTGGGGTAGCTGGGAGGTCCTTATCGTTGTCAATTAATTACCCTTGGGGGCCATGTTTCAAATGAAGGACAACACTTCTTTCTGCAAACCAGAGGAACATCATAGCCTGGACCAAAAACCACCTCAGGAGTCTGCTGAGGACCCTGCACAAAGACATCTGCAGTCAACCCAGACACAAACCTGCACAGGTAGCAAAGGGTGCAAACACACACCTCAGCCCTACTGTTAATTTACATGCTAATGGAATCTGCAGGCACCTTGGTTTTTCTGGGTGATGCCCAGCAGGCATCCAACATTGCTCCATGAGCATCCACGACCGTGTGGCTCTTGCTCCTGAAATTGCAGCAGTGACATGGCTGTGGGTGCTAGTGCTGGGTGGGAGCATCCCCCAGGACTGGCAGAGCTCCAGGATGGCTCATAGCCCCAAAACCCTGCAGCCCTCTCAGCCATCAGCCCACGCCTGCAGATTCCCTTGAGGAGGGAGAGAAGCTGCAGGATCCTGGCCAGCCCTGTCCTGCCTGAACTAGTTAAAAGGCAGAGAACACGTCTCAGACAGCAGCTCCCTGGAGCATTTCAGTCACCCAGCACTTGCAACCACCCATCTGAAGACCTAAAAAACCCCAGACTCTCCCCAAACACTGCTGCAGCCCCTAATGCTGCTCGTGGAGGAGCCAAGTCAGCCTAGTCCAGGACTCTGTATCTCCAGCAGCCAGTTAAGCACCAGAGTTGATCCTGCACGGTGCCCACACCCACCCAGCACCACAGCCAGCCCTTGCTTAAGGGATGTGTCAGCAGACCCCATTGCAAGCCTATACACGTACTTTTTTTTTTTTTCAGAGTGACACTCACACCCCTCCCCGTGCCCTGCTTACCTTCCAGCAGTGCAGGACTCCAGCAATAGGAGGTAGCAGGACCCAGCTCCTCTCCTGGGGCTCCCCTGAGCTGTAACCTGCTGCCTGGCACACCAGCCTCCGTGGCCACGATGTCTCAACTCCTCTGGCTTCTAATGGGGAAAATCTGGGGCAACCAAATTGCCCTTTTATAGCCCCAGAAAGCCCCTCCCACCAGGTGGGCTGGGTGCAGAGGACAAGGCTCCATCAAGCACACCTTCAGCCTGGTGCTGGCAAGAATTACCATTTTCCTAGGCTAAAAACCTGACTTTTCAAAATGTTTTTTTAAAAAAATAACCCCAAAACCAAGTGAGCATCATGGAAACAAACCTCTCCCAGCCAGCCAGGTCCTGCACTGGTGCTGAATCCCTCCTGTCCACTTTCCCAGCCACAGCCAGACCCTCCCCCTCCCCCCAACACTGACCACCTGTCAGCTCTGCATCACCTCCACTCGTGTCCCAAAGCCTTGATAATGAAAGGTCAAAATAAATAACCCCTCGTCCCTCCCTGGGTCTGGTAGCAAAACACCAGGAACAAACTGCAGAGCACTGAAATCAAATGTTTATGTTGATATTTATTACAGCATTGGGGGGGGGGACCACCCCCCCCCCCAAAAAAAAAGGGAAAAATAAAAACCCCAGAACAAGATGTGAAGTGGAAAAGGAAAGGAAGCTGATCCCTTGGGGAGCCCCCACCGTTGTTTCTCAGCGTCACTTGGAAAATATTAACCTGACTGTAACTATGAGACTGACACCCTCAGACACCCCCCCCCTCAATCCCACCCACCCCTCCCTCCCCAGCAACTTTCTACAGGTAAAGCACAATTAAAATGCCTGGGAAAAAAAAAAGAAGGCAAACATGAAAAAAAAAGAACCAAAACAACCCATACAAACAATCGTCTTACACACTAAGAAAAAAACAAACCAGAAAAGTGTTGTCATCTCATGTCTTGCAGTCAGAATAATAAAAACAAGCCAAATGTTCCCCAACAACATTTCAATGAAGGGGTGCGGAAAAAAGACATCCCTTTAATAAAACATTATCAACAAATATCGTACACAAACTACAATGGATAATAATTAATTCCTTTTTTTTTTGTCTTTTTTTTTTCCTTTTTTCTTCCCCTCTCGGTAATTTTCGAACCAGACTACAAGGTTAAGAAAAAACACTGAAACAAGATACAATGCTTTCAATAATCCGCACAAAGGGCAAATCCAAGGGAGAGAATATTTTACAGGATGTGATATACATGGAGCAGAAATGGGAGCTGGAGAAAAACAAAGAGCAAACTACAGGGTAGTGTCATGTACAGAGATCCCAACCCGCCGCCTTGGCTCGTCCCTTCCTCTCCCACCAGAAGGAAGGGACTTTGATGCTTGCCATTAATTTTTATTTTCTTATTACAGAGCGAGCCTACAGAATAGCAAGGTTACATTTTTAACAACAAGAATTCCTTAAAAAATATCTCCATCCAGTTCCAAACCATAGGTAAGTGAAACCCTGACAAGAGCACATCTCTAAAGGAAAGAAACCCCCCACAAAATATGCCCAAAGCAAAGAGAACCCTTTAAAAAAAACCAAAAACCCCAACAAACCCCAAAGTTAGCTGGAGATCACAGTTACAAAGTCCTAGGTCAGATTAACTCTTTCTTTTGGTGGGTTTAAAAAAAACCAATAAATTTTAAAAGACCAAATTTTTGAAGTGAACCAGCTGAAGGAGCCTGGGGAAGGGAGGGACAGAGATTTCTTCTTGTACTCGGAGAGGGGGAAAGACTAACACAGTGCATGCCACAGTCACAGAGAGCAAGATCACGATTCATTCGAGGATGTGATCCTAGAAGGGGTCACCTCTGTTAACAAGTTTATAACGAGGTGGTGGAGTCTCTTCCCCAAAGCAGATCTTGTTAACTGGAGGAGGAAGCGTTGTGCTGCAAACGAACCAAAAAAAACCCCCAAAAAAACAGAAGGGGAAAAAAAAACCCCAAAACCCAAAGCAAAACAAAAAAAACAACAACAGGCCTTCTGAACGAAAACCACCATTGTAAACTGTCCAGTTTATTTAAAAAAAAAAAAAAAAAAGAATGACTACAACAGAGACAACATGAGATTTCATATCTAGACTAGCTTCCTGGTGTTGCACGGCACAAACATACAACAGGTTCGGTTTCTGTCTTTATTTAAAAGAACAAAGCAAAGAGATCGGAGTTGGGTGCTAGAGGCTTCCGTTTGTTTCCAAAAAGAAGTGTCATGTACATATATAAACCCTTCTGCACAAAGAAGGGCCTTGTCATGTCTTGAAATATTTTAAGTTTTGTCCTTCATGTTTTATGGAATAAAAAGTTCAGCCTTTTTATTGCATGAAACTAAACCTGGGGTTTTGGCCCCCGCCACGCGTCTCCCTGCCCATACACCTAGCTTCTTCTTCTTCTTCTTGCATAAGTCGTTGAGATCCTCCGAACGGCAGCTGACTCTCTTGATCCTGGAGAGGAGGAGGGGGAGGGAAATCACACACTCATCGTCATGCTGGGGGAATACTGGAAGAGAGACAGAGCCAGGGTGAGAAACCAGGCGGGTCAGACCCCCAGGCAACCGAAGGGGGGACGCACAAGGAGGCTGGTGACGACGAGACAGCGCCCTAATGGGATGGAATGCATCAGGAGAGGAGGTGCTGGAGATTCAAATTTATCAGGGAGTAATCTGCTCTGTAACTGGCCTTTCCAGGGATGAGATGCAATTTAAAACAAACCATGAACACGCACACATGTACGAGCTGCTAACAGAGGAAGCAGAGGAGGGACACCTGACTGGGCCAGCAGCTGCCTCCAAACCACAGACTCAAGAGAATGCCAGGTTGGAAGGGACCTCAAGGATCATCTCGTCCAACCTTTCTAGGTAGGAACATGGCCTAGATGAGATGGCCCAGCACCTTGTCAAGCTGAGTCTTAAAAATGTCCAGTGTTGTGGAATCCATCGCTTCCCTGGGGAGATTATTCCAGAGTCAGACTGTTCTCATAGTAAAAAAATTTCTTCTGGTGTCCAGTCGAGATCTCCCCAGGATTAACTTGTACCAGCTATCCCTCAACTTTTCCATGTGACTCCTTGTAAAAAGGGAGTCTTCATCTTCTTCGTAGCCAGCCTTTTAACTACTGGAACTGCACCGGCTTCTCTCCATCCTGCAGAATCCTCTGCCCTCCATCCCATGGGATCCTCTCCCCTCACTTTTTACACCCCATCTCACTGAGGACCCAAGTTTGCACCCATCAGGGTATTTCCTCCTCCCCACTTGCTGCCCTGGAGCAGCTCACACACAGTACAAACCACGTCTGAAAGGCACCCACTGCCACACCCCCTCCCCGCCCCACCCCACCAGGATACCCTGGGGACTGTCCCATCCCCCCCCCCCCAGGGAGGCACGCACTCACATTGTCATTTTGGAAGGAATGGAGAAAGTTGCCTCCCAGCTCCCCATCGTCTCTTGGAGTGCCCGGGGGATTGCTAATGCCACTTATGTTGTTTGGAGAATTCTGCAGGAGATGGAGGAGGAGGAAGCAGTGAGCAGGATGAAGTCCCACCTGCCCCGGTCACAATCCCCTGTGGTGTCCCCATCCACTGGGGTCAAACTGGCATCTCAGTGCCAAGAAAAGGGGGACTCACAGAGCCACCCTGCATCTCACTTACTTTTGGAAGTCCATCTATGTCTCCTGACCCTGTGCAGGGGGACACAAAAGGAGAACAGCTTTATTGAGCATGCAGGCATGGCCCCTGCTCCCCCCCTGCCCTGCTCCCCAGCCCCCCATTCTGACTTCCAGTTCTGCTTCCAGCACTACTCCCATGTAGGGGGGTCAATCCCAGGATGGGAGCAGGCACTGGGATGCTCTGCAGGGCACAGTGAGGCTTCCTGAGCTGTGGAACCCCCAGGGTGCTCACCTAATGATCCGTTCATGTGATGGGGCTCCATGCCCCCCATGCCGCCCATGGGGCCATCAGAGCCAGGGCCCATCGGGAACTGTGGAAGTAAAAAGGTGACAAAACCAGAATCAGCCACAAAACCACCCTGCATGGCCCTGGTGGCTCCTGGGGACTGTCCCCTCCCCAGCTATCCCTCCAGAGCAGGCTGAGAGGAAGGACACATCCACTCCCAAGGTGTGGGGCACATCTTGGGGGAGTTAAGCTCCTGTAAGTTCACCCACAAAACTTGGCCAGGTGGGAGCGGGCAGACCCAGGCCCACGGGAGAGCAGCAGGCTCCCTCCAACTAAGTATTTAAGGAGATTTAAGTATCCCACACGTCATGGCACCTCTCTGGGCATCCAGCTGCCACCAGCTCGCCCGGAGCAGCAGGGCTGCCACTCTCTTAATAAGCATAAAAAATTAACAAAGTCGCCGAAGAGTTAATCGCTTTTTGATGGTTTGTTTTATTTCTGTTTGGTAACAAATGGCTGAAATCAATTAAACTGCTTTACTCTCAACTGATGAAGTTAATTATGATTTGTTATGGTATCTGATATGTAAATTATTAGAAAGCAGACTTACATTCGATCGACTGCCTGCGGGCGGTACTGGATTAATCATTGTGTAGATGTTGTCACTTGAATTTGTTGAATCTGTGGAACAGTGAAGCCCAGTAAGTCGGGTGATTAATTCATTTCTTAATTAAAACAAACTCATGCCACTTGAACTCATTCTTTTGTATTTTATCACCTAAAATTCCCTCTAAGTACCACCATTTTCTGGCTAATTTGTATTTAATGAAGATCCACAAAGTTTTTAATCACATAAATTCAACTGTGAAAAATAATTCAACTCCTGGCTAGGAAGGTGCAGGGAGGTAATTCCCCACCACGTAGCACTCCTCACCTCCCACCTCCCCAAGCCCTTCAGCATCTAACTCCACAGGGGGATACAGGAACATCTCCAAATGCCATCCCAAAGTCAAGCAGCCCAGGCCACTCACTCCCTTAAATGGATTATTTGGGCAGGGGCTGCCTGTGCCTGGTGGTGCAGCTCCAGGTACAGGGGTCTCCCTGGCAGGGGAAGGGCTGGCCCTGGTGTGGGGGGTCTCAGGAGGTCATACCTGCAGGACTGGGCATGATGGGTGTCCCTGGAGGACCGCCGCCCCCGGGCGGACCCTGCGGAGAGACGAAGCAGGGGGGTCAGGGCCACGAGCAACAAGCATCACCCACCTCCCAACATTTTCAAACGCCTCCCCTCAGGCCGGACCTCACACCTGCCCCCCTACACCACCCCCAAACCACACAGGCTCCCAAACATCTCTGCACCCAGGATGGACAGACAGAGCAGGAGGACTCACCACGTATGTACCAGGCGATGAAGAAGAGTATGGGATCTATAGAGAGAAGAGAGCTGGGTTCAGCCATGGGGTGCACAAGGGCTACCTCGGGCCCAATCCCAGCAGGGCACAACTAAGAGCCCCAGCTGCCCCTCCCGATTGGCATGAATGGGGGTCCCAGGGCCCCCCAGCTGCACCCCACTGCAGGGAGAGCAGCACAGGAGCAGCATTTAGGCTATAGGTGTAGGAGCAGTGTCTACCTGAGAGGCTAGGAAACCCTCCTCCTTGCCCCCATTAGCAGGATTCAGCTAATGGGGAATGGCCTCATTTGCAGGACAGTCCCTGACCAGCCCCACTCTTGCTTCCAAGGACACTGGGATACTCACTGAATTAGCACTGCTGGGGTTCGGCCACGGTCTGCCAGCTCCCGGCCCCCTGGGATCAAAAATAAATGGGGAAAAAAGAGAAGTTGTACTTTTATCTGTCACCTCCACCAGCCTGCTCCCCACAGACACCCCTGCAGTCCTGCAAAGCCCAAATCCATGGGAAAACATTCCTGGGTGTGGGGTTTGCCTTACATGTTAATTCCAGGCATGCCGGGACCTAGGGAGTTGGGTGGAGGTCTCATGCCGCTGCCGTAGTTCTGCAGTCGTAAGGAAGGGTTGGTCCACCATCATGGGAAGAGAGGAGGAGAGGAGAGATGACAAAGAAACAAGAAAATGAGGATTAGTTTACACAAAATAGCTTTTTTTTTTTAAAAAAACAAATCCATTATGACGAATGTAGAGGCAGTTAGCAATTGTGTTTATAAAAAAAGCAGGCAGCTGAATATGGGAGGGAGTCAGGCTGAGCTTTTAAGTCCCCCTGTGATCTCTGATGCTGTGATGCTGGAGGGAGAACAGCCCCCTCCCAGCTCTGGGAGGCAATTCTGCCCATGGCCCCCCAGGCACCACCAGCAGCCTTCTGGGTTTGTCTGTTTATGCAGGAGAAAGCAGGAAGGAGGAGAGAGGAGTCGCTGCTTGGAAGGTTATTGCTGCAGCATAAGGATGGGAAGAGGCTGCACGAGCTCCCCTGAGATGGAGCATCCCTGCTCCCAGGATGATGGCTGGAGGAGGGAAAGCCAAGCCAGGCTTGTCTTCCTGTTGCTTCCCAGCTCCCTGCTACATCCCCCAGGGTGCAGACGAGGGCAGGCAGCCCCTCGGGGCTCCCTTCCTGGCTTATTCCAGCCTAGCTTAGCCTCCCACTGGGTCCAGGACCCTCAGATCTGTGCCCCCTCACCTCCTAAAACCAGCTCTAGTACAAAGCCAAGCCCAAGGCAGGGAAGGACGAGGAATCCCTTGGAACACAGCGTTCCATTTGGTCTGTGCTTTTCTCCCTGAGCCCTCTGGGCGATGTGCAGCCAGATTTAGGTCACGCTGCTGCTCCTCCCCTCCCACCTTCCCTACCCCCCACGATGCGTCTTTTTGGGCTGGATTTCTGCCATTTAGAGAAACAAAATTGCCAGGGCAGGAAGGGAGATGGCTGGCCACTTTCTAGTTTGCAGCCCCTTGGAGCACTCCAAGCTGGACTTTAAGTGTAATACTTCATTGCTGTCGATTTTTCCCTGGATTTATGGATGCACTGGAGCAGGGTGCTCTGCTGAGGGCATTGCCAAAGTTTGTTTTGAAGAGGCAGAAAAGGGTTTTCCCCAAACAAATTACTGGCAAGTCCTTTAATTGATCAAAATTCCAGCCATTTACACTGAATAGCAGCATCAAAAGCCTTGTTAAAAAAAAAAAAAAAAAAAAAAAGAAGAAGAAGAGCTAAAAAGCTCAACGTTTTTAATTGGAGCTGAAAGGCTGGAAAACGAAGCCATCTGAAAGATGCTCAGGGAGGGTGGGGAGGGAACACAGCTGTGCTGAGAGACCTGGATGCTGGGCTCTGGCAAGATGCTGCCGAAATCCAGAGAGCTCCAAACCCTCTTCATAGAGGCACCAACAGACCTAATCCTGGCTTCTGCAGAGCTAAAACTGTGACTATTGAAGGGATAAAAAGCTCAACGTTTTTAATTGGAGCTGAAAGGCTGGAAAACGAAGCCATCTGAAAGATGCTCAGGGAGGGTGGGGAGGGAACACAGCTGTGCTGAGAGACCTGGATGCTGGGCTCTGGCAAGATGCTGCCGAAATCCAGAGAGCTCCAAACCCTCTTCATAGAGGCACCAACAGACCTAATCCTGGCTTCTGCAGAGCTAAAACTGTGACTATTGAAGGGAAAAAGGCAGCAGTGATGGACTGTAAGGGATGATTCATTCTTGGTGCGTTGTAAGTAGCTGTTGTCAGGATGCTGGGATGTCCTGGCTGGATGCTTTGCAGCCTCTGGGGATAACTTAAGGAGTATTTGGAAAGGTCCTAATGCAAAGCTTAAAGAAAAAAAAAAAAAAAAAAAGCCCTGTGCATGCAAGGTGTGAGGGGCTGCTGGGTCTGGTTGGGTATTTTTGGTGGTGCCAACACAGAGCACTGGTTCCTGGCTGGCTGCAGGGCAGCAGCATCCCGCAGGTGCCAGGTTGGGAAGCCCAGGGAAAGGCTGCCTTGAGAAAAAAAGTAACACAAACCACACACTTCTCCCTAATGTACGTATACAGGGAATGGCAGAGTCAAAAATAAAGCTCTGAACATCTCACAGCTCCTGCTGGCTCCCAGAGCCACCGCCATCCCACGCGGCTCTCAAATGCCATGGCTTTTTTTTTGGGTGCCATCCTCCAGGAAAGGAGGATTTTAAGCAGAGCAGCAGCACTCAAAGCATCCTTGGGCTTTGCTCATCTGTGATGCTCGTGCAGTTTTTATATCCCCTGCCTTAGGATGGATCTGGGTGCCTGTGAGGATGGCTGGGCAATCCTGACCAGCATCCTCAGGCTGGTGTTAAAAAAGACATGTCACAACTCCCTCTTTACACAATAATCACTTATCTCAACAGTTTCCAGGGGAAAAACAAAACAAAACTCCAGCGCACCCGCTCGTCTCTTGACAGACTCTGATCCTCGCGCTACAAACTCGACGTAGGCGACGATGCAGGGAGGATAAACCTCCAACCAAAACATGGTAATCTGGTTGTGAAGTCTCGTAGAAGGAACAAACAGGAGTGAGTCAACAACAAGCCACTCCGTAAAGTGAATCAACGGAAAGACAGCATATATTAACCTGAATCTGCCTCATTTTCAAAGAGTTTACTCCCCTTTCCTGAAACAGATTGCTCAAGCAGGCAGCAGGAAGGGCAGGCGGAGGGGAACCTCGCAGAGGAAAAGCCTTATTCCCCTGCTAGAGGGATCTTTGCCATTTCTTATTTATTTATTTATTTATTTATAATGCAAACCTCCTTTCCCTTTCCTGCTGTTAGGGTTGTAACTGTTTCCCAGGCAGGCAGGGTAATGCACTCAGAGGCTGCTCTGGCACGGTGCTAAGTGCCATCCCCTTTGACGGAAGCGCGGGAGGGAGGTTGCAATACCCTTAATGAGCTCTGTAGACCTCACTCATGTTAAAAGGAGGGATTTCCAGATGCAAGACTAATGTAAAACGCATTAACACTAATGGGGGGACAGGGCCTGGGGGGGGCGGGGAAGGAACTCCCAGCCCTTGGAGCCCCAGGAGGTTGTTTTGATGGTGCAGGGGCATTTGCTGAGCCCTAAGATGCTCTTTGGCGCTGGGCTTACCTGTGGACCGGGACCCATGGGGCCCATCCCTCGTGGAGGATTCATCCTTTGCATGGGGCCGCCCATGTTAGGGTGCCCTGTTGGGAGGAAAGCAGGAGTGTCAGGTGGCAGAGTGGTCATTTCAGGTCTCAAATTAACAGCTAACAAGGAACGTTAGCACCCAAGCCTCCTCTGCTGGGCTTACCTTGCTGTCGCGTGGGATCCATCGAATTGGGCAGCAACGGCTGTGTCCCGGGAACGGCGCCCGGGGGCTGGGAAAACAAAGGGAGGAAGATTAAAAAATACAGTCATTGCTAAAATGCAGTCTACAGAGATAGATTTGGGTCGAGGATTTAGAGAGGGGGGCTCCTCCTCAGTGCACTGCCCAGGTCACACCACCCTTCCTGCCGCAGCATGACCTGCG